AAATTAGAGTAGATTGGGTGTTAGTGATGCTATCCTTAGCTAATTTATATGCATTCTTGCACAAATAACTCTCTTTTGGAGAGTTATCACACCCCCAAATTTGAATTATTGTTTGTCCCCAAGCAATGCTACTCCCGACTCTACACTCAATAGAATGGAAAACCAATGCATGCAACTTCACAAATTGCCTATGATCCATTACTGTGGCTAAGAGTTTCTCAATCTACTAAAGCATCAAACCAGAAGGGAATCAAACAACTCTTGCACTAAGACTAAGGTGCTTTATTCACATTTGACCACTTAATTCCACCCTCACTCTTGGCAGCCTTTGAAAAGTCCTCCAAACTTCTTTTCTCAAACTGATCTCCATTCTCATACTTTTGCTAACTTGCTACTGACTTCACTAACAGCAATGAGCTACTAGCCATTCCTGACCCTCTAGCTCTTTGAAATTTTTTTGATTTTTGATTTTTTGATTTTTTTTATGATAGAGCTGAATTATAAGGCCAAAAATTTTGCATAGCATTACAAATGATTGCACTGCAAGAGAATTACAAGAATGAATATAACAATAAAATGAAAGTCCCTCACCCCAAAACTTAAAGCAAAGCATTGTCCTCAATGCTTAGTAAATGATATCGTAGAAATAAGGACAATGCTTCCCCAAACATAAAATGAAGATAGGAGGAAGATAAATGGTATAGGGAGTACTGCCTATCTGAAGCGTTTCTAGAGGGGTGAATTCTTGCTACTTTTTATAAAGTCAATAGCTTTCTCGCAAGTTGGAAAGGGATACTCACCCCTTCAAATTCTGATAAGGTTAAATTTCTAGGGCCAACCATGGGATACTAGCAAAATGAAGCTATCCTATGCTACTTTAAAACACCTTCGAAAAAGGGCAAGAATTGTATCATTCCTTTCTAACTATATCAAGAGTAGAAATCGTGTAAATTCCCACAGACCAGACACCAAAGGCAAAAACTTAGAATCAATCAGCATGCATTATCAGACCGTTCTACACTGGACCTCTCATTTTCAACCTTGCTTTTCATTTTCTTTTCATTTCATCGAATTACACTAAAACATCAAACAAAAACATAAGAAACTACCCTAGTAATTGAAAACTATATGACATTATTCACATGAAATTAAAGTCTAAGCTAACACATGCATTCAATCTTTAAAGAAAAACATAAAATAAACCAACACAAAAAATAAAGTTTTAGGTAGGGGAAACCAACTCCCTTAGTCAATCTTCTTCTTCTTCACTGTTGGTGCCGCCCGTGCGCTGAGATGCTCCAGGATCGATAGTGTCCCCTACAAGTTCATAGGTATTGGGACTTTCTCTACTTCAAAAAGCTTAGAGACTCGTGCAAACGCACACGATCACAAGTAATACTTGGTAGTAATCCAAGGTCGAATCCTCAGGGACTTTTTGCTTCCAAACCAATTTTCAAGAAATGAACAGTTCAAATATGCATTGTGATTTAGGAAGAAAAATGTGATGAAATGTTGTTGTTTGGGGTTTAAACTAACAAGCAATTTAATGAAACTTAACCTCCTTGTCTCTTACCTTAGTTTTGATGCAAAATATGGAAACACACTATGTTGGGAAAATGCACCAGGCGTAATAACTGACTTTTCTTGGGATTTGAGTTCTACTCTTTCACTATTGCTTTTGGTTGCTACATAGGCTAGGGTAACCTACAATCATATGCCTATGTGTGATTACAATCCTAGAGAATATCTACCAACTCATTTGCATTATGGGTCAGAGGGCCTATACCTAGGACCATGTTTTATGCGCTTATTCCTAAGTCACATCCCATATTGGTTTCCTATTATTTTACCTAAACCACCTTTCCCAAGGTTGGGATTTGGTGTATAAATCAAGTTCCCACTGGCCAAATGGAAAAAAGACGTAAAGATAAGTTTTTAAAAACCAACCTAGAATATGAACATAAACCATAAAAACGTGTTTTACAACTAGAGAGCAAATGAAAGAAGATGAAATGAAGCTTGGAAAGGATGATTTGCTGATGGAGGGATGACTTCTTTTTATAGCACCATAGGTTGGTTGAAACTCCCCTCCATTTTAGGTGGAAATGAGTTGCGATTCACCTAACCACCTTACATGGACATGGACCCACGGTTTTGAACATGTGGGAAATGTCCTTGCTCTTCATTAATCAAAACGTGCGTTTTGACATTTTGTCCTCTATAAATGCGTGAGGCGCAATTATACAAAAAACAGATTTCTGTTATTTTGTTCCAACTTTGACCGCATTTTTCTCATATTTTTTCTAAAGTACCATAGTTTCACTTTTATGCAGACATAATCTATGCATGTTCTATTTTAAGAATATGTGGTCCTTTTTGGCAAATAATAATGGGAATGGGGTGAAAAACGTAGTAAAAAAGGGCTACCGACATATGTTTCTGCAGTAAAAAGTCAACCCTAACAGTAGGCTATGGTAAGTTCTTTCTCTAAGCGATCCAACAAGGTCTCCTTTTGTATTTCCTTACTCAACAAGTCATCTGCAAGTCTTAAGAGAGAACATTCTTCTACATCAGCAGGAAATTTAACAGAATTAAAAACACAAAAGGTAACTTGTTGATGGTTCACTTACATGGTAAGCTCCCCATTATGCCTATCTATTAGCGCTCTACTAGTGGCTAGAAAAGGCCTCCCTAAAATTATTGGGATCTCGTTGTCTGCTTCATAGTCGATGACGATGAAGTCAGCTGGAAAAATGAACTTGTCCACCTGCACGAACACATCATTGATTTTGCTATCTGGGTGAGTGATTGACATGTCAGCTAGCTGTAGTGTCACTGTGGTAGGCCTTGCTTCACCAATACCGAACCTCTAATATACTGACAATGGCATGAGGTTTATGCCGACACGTAAATCGCATAGATCATGGCTCACATTCTTTCCACCAATAGAGATTGGAATAGTAAAACTCTCTGGATCCCAAATTTTCTGTGGAAGCTTGTCTGTTAAAATTGCACTGAACTCCTTGGTTAAAGTTATGGTTTCAAACTCTCCAAACCTCCTTTTCTTGGTCAAGATATCCTTCAAAATCTTTGCATAGTTAGGCATCTACTCAAGAGCCTCAACTAAGGGTATATTGATGTGGATTTGCTTCCACACGTCCAAAAAATACTTGAGTTGATTATCTTGGTTTTTCTTTTGAAGCCTTTGAGCATAGGGAGGTGGTGGTCTATATTCCCCTGGTGTTTCCACACTTTTCTGGACTGGTGCTTCACTTGGGTCTGCTTATTTCACTAATTCAGCTTCTGATACTCTTTTTCCTCTGCTAATTTCAGGTTTAGGTTGAGCTTCTGTCACTGGTATCTGCTTATTCGATGCTCCAACATCGTTCACTCCTTTATCATCAACCAACTCATTTTCTATAGTTTCCTCTTCATGGCAGTATGCTTTATCTGCTCGCGTTTCCGAAGGATACAGTGCGGGTAAAGCCTTCTCACACCTTAGAGTTATAGCTTTACATTGTTCCTTCCCCTCTCTCTTGGGATTTTCGGTGTCACTAGGCAAGGTACCAAGGGGCTTATTTTTCAACTCATTTGCCATTTGCCGCAATTGGACTTCCAAATTTCTTAGAGAAGTTGCTTTGCTTTGGAGTGTTGCATCATTCTTCGCCATGTATTCTCTCATTAGCTTCTCTATAAAATTGGAGGAACTTGTTGTTGGCTTCACTTCCTCCTGTTGATTAGACATTATGAGCCTAGGGTGGTGAATCTCCTTTTGCTGAAATTGAGAGGCATCCTGTTGTCCTTGGTTCCCTCCCCAACTGAAATTAGGGTGTTGCCTCCATCCCTCACAATAAGAACAAGAGATGGCTAGCATATTGTTGATTTCATGGCTAGTTGACGATCCTGCAGCAGTGTTCATGTTCTTGAGCATATTAGTCAGGTTGGTAATTTGAGTCTTCAGTGAAGCCACTGAATCGTCGTTAGCAGTTTCGTGACTAGTTCTATCACTTGAGGCTCTGGGATATGACCAGTGGTAATTGTTAGAGGAGATCCTTTCTAAAATGTCAACAGCCTCTATATACGATTTGGATTATAATGCCCCATTAGCTGATGCATCCACCACTAACCTTGTTGCTTCATTTAGCCCATTATAAAAGGTCTCAATATGGATACACCTAGGCAGACCATTGGGGGCACCTCCTTAGCAGATCTTTGAACCTCTCCTAAGATTCACTCACTGTCTCCCCAACTTTGTGTTGAAAATCATTGATTTCTCCCCTATATTTTGCATTCTTACTTGGAGGAAAATACTTCATCAAGAATTTTTCAGCAAGATCATTCTAGGAAGTAATAGATTCAGCTGGCATAGACTTCAGCTAATCTCTAGCCTTATCCCTCGGTGAGTAGGGAAACAGCTTCAACCTCAATGCTTCCTTAGATACCCCTTGCATTTTAAATGAATCGCTTACTTCTAAAAAGTACGTCAAGTGCAGATGGGGATCTTTATATGTATTCCCATAGAACTAACCTACTGTTTGGAGCATTTGGAACATGACAGGCTTTAATTCAAACATTTTTGCTTCAATATGTGGTTCTGCAACAACCGGATATAACCCATGAAATATAGGAACGACATATGCTCTAATTGCCCTTTCTCTGTCATCAGCCAACAGAATGGCATCAAGAGGAGGAACAAATATTGGTACAATCAACTATCCTCTATTAATTCCTTCAACTTCTGGATTGGGAACCACAAGGTTAGGATTTCTCAGTAGTTGATCTATAGGGCAAACTGCTACTTGTTGTCTACGTTGTGCTCTTCTTCTTCGATGAAATTGCTCTCTATCTCGTTATCAAGTAGATATTCCAACCCTTATAGATCGTGCATTCACCTTCAAATCCACCAAACAGTAGTTAAAAGAAATCTTTCTAGCACATATTTTCTTAAGTAAAAACATAATGTGTAAAGTTGAATAAATCCCCGGCAACGACGCCAACAACTTGTTGGTACGACTTAGAACCCTTCTGTGCAAGTGTACACAACCGTTGTAGCAAGTGATAAAAAGTTCGTATCCACAGGGGTTGATAACTAAATACTCCAATATTTAACTTAAGAAAACTAAATAAGCTTAGTAAAAGTATGGTTGAATACAAAGACTTTGGAATTTAAATGAAATAGTGCATAAAAAGCTTACTAACTAACTGAATAGAAAATATATGAATACAATTTGATTTAAATTGAATTAAATAGTAACTACTGATGTAACAAGGCTAAGGGGTAAGAGTCTATCTGACTTCTTTTGGGCTGACGTAAACGATGCTACTGCATTAAACTCAAGTAGAATCTACAACGAGTTGAAGCCAAACACTTCATATTACAATTTTCCAAGAGTTAATAACAAGATATTCCAATACGACGGCCAAGCACATTGAAAATTAAATGTTAAAAACAACTTCAACTCAATATATATATATCATCATCAAGACAAAGCAAAGTTTACAACCCAAGAATAAGTTCACAACATCCTCCCCCTTACAAATAAACTTAGCTACTCAATGTCATACAAGAAAAAGGAAGAAGAAAATACAAACCACGTGCACTAAAAAGTACGAAAGAAGAAGAAAATGAATAATAACAGCACCCTTCTCTCTTTGTTGTCTTCTTCAACGATTTCTTGGGAGCTTTCTTCAAGTGAGAGTGAAGTCAGGGGATGGGAAGTGTTAGAGGCACCCTTAACAACAAGCTTTTATACCCCTCTTGGTTTTAGGGCAACACAAATGATAAAGTGGGACCCAACTTTTCCATTTTACTATACTAATTTCTCGGGTAAAAGTTGTCACTGTCAACTCTGTCTTTTTCTACCTTTTGCTTTCGACGCTACAACAAAACATTCAAATTTAGATCATTCTTCATAACTCTCAACATTATCAGCAAAATAATAAGGAGGATATTGAATTTATAACATTCTTTGCATAAAACCAGTGTAGATTGGGTGTTAGTGATGCTATTCTTAGTTAATTTATATGAATTCATGTACAAATAACTCTCTTTTGGAGAGTTATCAGTAACTATCAATTCTTTTATGCATTTTCTTAACCATGTCCCTCTGTTTCGGATGTGGTATCGAATAAATTAGGAGGTCACCCAACCTAAGATTACTCCAAGCTAAGCACGCTTAACTTTTCGGATGTGGTATCGATTCATTCACAACTTGGCTGCACTAGAACAGCTTAGACTATCCCTAAGGACCAACACTAGCCCTTTTAGCATACTTTGTCCTCACTCACATGCTTCCTAGTAAATCAACAAGGAGGTCACCCAACCGTAGTTACTCCAAGCCAAGCATGCTTAAATTCAGAATTCTTATGATTGAGCCGCCGAAGAGGAAGGTACACCTTGTTGGTATAGGTAGTAACTATCAATTCTTTTAAGCCATTTCTTAACCATACTCCAATGGTCTCAGGATCCCTATACTCGGGCGTCACATTATACTGTAACACCCCAAGATTTTCAACATCCCAAATGGGGACCGTTACTAAAATCGCCCTAAAAGTCCCACTCGAATTAAGAAAATAGAACACTAACAACTCGGAATAAACAAATCATACCACCACGCATCCACTGCGCTACTCTGATACTACACTTAAAACACAACAAAAGGACTTAAGCAAGAACAACTAACGCCAAACAAGGCTAAGCAACTACTAACCTCCGTATCGTTTAAAAAGGCAATAAAGCTAAAACAAAGTTACAACTTTAATAAACGTTCCGAAACGAAAACCAACAAAATCAACCATCTAACCTTCAGTACAAGTCTAGCCAAAGAATGAATCGATTAAAACATTCTACTAACCACCTGAACTATTACAAAATCCAAACCTCAACATAGAACATAAACTGGAACAACAAGGACCACTAACAAAACTTATTATAAACAAATTAGAACTAAAGAAAAGCTAGCTACGGTCTTTCTTGTCGAGTCCCCTCCGCATCATCACTATATGCGTGTGCTACCTTACTACCTAACAAATCTAGAGAGAAAAAAAAAGGGGTGAGTACAACCACGGTACCCAGTAAGCAGCCCTTACCTAAAGGGCACGCACAACCAACATGTTTACACAACAGCAACACATCATGCTCGTTATTAATATCATGTTTTACATAAAACAAAATAGGTTACGCAAATGCTTGCCCTAACATGCAACCTACATGTCAACCCCAAGCCTCACATCACAACTCACTAGTTCTCTTTCTTATTCCTCCAGACTTATTCCTTTGAGTCGTATCGACCCCTGGCCTTTGTACCGAGGGCCTCGACACTCCTTTACGACGTTTGGCGTTCGACCCTTGACCTTTGTACTCAAGGCCTCTAACTGTTCCACCGACCCCTGACCACACATATCCAATGCCTCGATACTTCTCTAAACTCATTAGTTATCCTTCTTATTCCTCTAAGACTTATTCCTTCGAGTTGTATCGACCCTTGACCTTTGTACCCAGGTCATCGACACTTCTCTATGGCGCTTGGCGTTCAATCCTTGACCTTTGTACCCAAGGCCTCGAACTGTTGCACCGACCCCTAACCACGCATAGCTAAGGCATCGATGACTTTGCAACATATTGGCCCTTATCCTTTCCTCTCGAGGTCCCAATACTTACCTTCCTCTAAGACTCATCGCATCGACCGTCGACCTTTGTATCCGAAGCCTCGACACACATCTTTGTTAATAGTTTGGCGTATCGACCCCCGACCTTTGTGTTGGGTGTGTTGCCCTAAACTCGTAGTTTGTATTTTGTAAAAACAAATGTATATTCAATAAAGTTTTATTCAATAAATTTGTTGTTGAATTCATAGCATTGCATTGTCCAAAATCTAATAAACCAAACATCCGAGGTTATTTTAGTGTAACCGGGACAGTATATGTACTTCGTATATATTTGATATACCCCTGATATACGAGGTATATATTTGATATACCCTGATATACAAGTGGATAATGTCCCGTGAATAACCTAAAGGGTCTATAGTATATGGATAAGGCTGGGTACCTTATCTTGGCAACAGTATGGATACGGCCCACTCTGTAAGGTTACAGACGACTCGA